GGACTTTAATTTGTTTCCAATGAGATGTTAACATTAGCTTTTCAGCATCATAGATGACAGTCTATTTTAGAAAGGCAATGAATCACATGTAAGTAAAATTTGTCAGATTTTAAGTTATTTAATTACATCTAAAATTTCACATTTGGTAAGATGTAGCTTTTGTTAGAGTTTTAACATTCATTATTTCTCATTTATTGGGGGTTTAGAACAGTTTACATGGCATGTAATAAATACATTAGGTGGCTTTCCATTCTTTAGATAAAATACAGAGATCAGTTGTACAAGATCACAGTTTTAGTAAAGGAAGTTAAGTAATCTATAGCTTAGTTACTCAAATCTTTGTATCATTCCTGTATAAGTATATACTGAGATTTTACAAATTCAGAAACTAAATATAATTCACATCAAAAGGGTTATGTGGTATTTAACTGTGTGCTCAGAGTTAAGCTTTATAGACTTCATATTCTCTATTTAAATAGCTATCTACTTTAAAAATCCCAGGTAGAGAGTGAATTGTAAATTACTGTAATGACTATAAAGCAAAGTTTCTCTATATTGCTTCTGAATTTTATTTCAAATCTTAGAAGGTAGAGATGTGAAATACCGGTAAACTTGTTCAGCTATATGTATATCAAAACCTTGGATTAACCAGTAACTTGGCCCCATTTTTCCTAGGACACTCACCGTTTCAGAACATAGGCACCAAACTGAAAATTGCAAATTTTTAAGTGTGGATGAAATTAGGTATCCTTGAGAGAATTCAGGCCTTCTTGTAATGGACTGGGAGCCCATTAGTTATCAATCATCCCTGGAAATGTTATTTAGATAAACCCAAATTCCAGTAACTCACATTCATAGATAATCACTTTAAGTATATAAGACATTTTAGAAGACTATCACAAAAGCATTTTTTTCATAAAAAGATTCAGTACCAAAAAGATTACATTTATATAGAAATGTAGATTTCTCAGTTAATGAAGCACTACTCAACTTCTTTCAAACAAAGCAGTAGAGTTTCTGATTCAGTCAATATTCATTTTCTACCAATAAGCAAAATGAACTCCCTTCCTCCTGGATCTTGTGGGAAGAAACAAAATGATCAGACAGAACAGTAACTAGATAGAGGATCTGAACTTGTGGAGAGCGATGCAAACAAAAATTAATCAAAGAGTTAGTGCGGTATGCATTGAAACTTGCTGTAACCTTTGGCGGAAAATAATCTTTTCTGAACTATTTCAGAAAACAGAATCAAATCTTAAAATTGGCTAAAAACTGTCACGATTTAGAGATGTAGAAATTTCTAGAAGAAATCGAAAATCCAAGGACATCCTGGGCAGATGACACAGCGCACGCAGATGCACCCACTTGATAAAGAAAACAGTGAGAAGCTGGGTGTGGCTCAGCGTTTCTCTTCAAAAAGAAGTGATGGAACAGTGTGACATTTTGGTGCATGTTTACAATGTGTGCTGGTCAGATCACGATAATTACCATTTTGCTTTATAATTTTTTATGTTAGAGACTTTAAATTCTTCTAGTAATTCATAAAATATACAATAGGCCAGTGGTGGTGAACCTATAGCACATGTACCACAGCAGGCTGTGTGTTATCACTGAAAGCTCTAAAAGGTTCGCCATCGCTGCAGTAGGATATATTGATCATTCTGCATTACTATAACAAAATACCTGAGCTAATCAACTTAAAATAAGGAAAGGATTTTTTGGCTCACTGTTTCAAAGGTTCCAGTCCATAACAATTGGCCGTGCTGCTTTGTGTCTGTGGTGAGGCAGCATATTATAATGGGCAATATTTTGTGAAGCACCGTGCTCATCTTATGGCAGCCTGGATTCAAAGAGAAAGGAATAGGAGTGGCCAGGGTTCGTTTTCAGGGCCCACCCCAATGATCTAACTTCCTTCCACTAGCTCCCACTCTTAAAGGTTGGGTTGCTTCTCAGTTACACCAAGCTGGAGGCCAAGTCTTTAACACGGGGACTTTTAGGGAGCAACTCAAGATCCAAACCACAGCACAGATTATTGTCAACAGTAATCCTCACACTATGCTGTAGAACACAGAATGTATTTCTCCTATCCCAATAGTTTGATAGCCATTGTCCAACTTCCTATTATGTCTATTGCATCCCTATTCTCAGCCTCTAGTACTCACATTAAAAATTTTTAAGCAAATATTTAAGGAGATGGAAATTATTAATCCTGTGATTTGATCATAACACATTTGTGTACATAATGACACTGCATGCCGTGAGTAGGTATAATTAAAACAGCTTTTAAAAAGAATTCATGGGTGACACTGTGGGAGTTAGAATGGCCAGGAACAGCTTGTGGCGGTATAAAAAGAAGTTTGGAATAAAACCTGGGCTTGCTAGAAGCATACTCTACCTGGTAGAAGTAGGAATAAAGTTGTTTTCATGTAAAAATTCACTTAGAAACACAACTTGTCTCAATTAAATTGATGAAATGCTTACAGTAGGAAAAGAATGCACAATCAATTTCTGACCTAAGTTAGTAAAATTAGTAAATTAGCACAAACTGCATAAGAGATATCTGCTAAAATGCCTAATTATACAGTTTGATCAGGAGGAGAAATGCCATGGAATAATAGAGGTGAGGTGGCTGCAGGGTTACAGACTTCAGGAAGGAGGTGGAGAAGGTGAACTCTGAGGAGTGGAACACATGAGCCAAAGAATATTTTAGACGAGAGGATGTGGAGTCAGGAAGAGTAAGGGTGGCAGATTCCCCACAGCTTTACCAATGTGGGTGTCACCTGATTAAGCAGATGAAAGGGTAACAGTAGTAATCTAGGCAAGACAAGCTTGGACCTAAAAATCCACAAAGAAGGGTTGACTTGTATATATAGCTGTAGACAAATCAAGCAAAGGAGAAAGGACCACGAGTAGGTTTAAGGCCGATGACTATTCTGGCAGTGAATATGCAGAATCGATTGAGCATGCGTGCATGGCAGAGCACAGGAGACTGATCTGTGTCAAAAGATATCACCAGTGGACACATGGTACTATGAGGCCCGTAGTGTCACACTTGTGGGTTATCTCACTTGATCCTCAGAGCACTCACAGGTAGCAACTGCCAACATTGTCACTTGATGCTACAAAGAGGAAACCAAGGTCCAGAGAAGTAACTAGCCCAGTCATGCAGCAAGTAAGAAAGAAGATGGAACTTGGACTCCAGGTCCGAGGAGCCATCCAGTTATGTCCTCTCCTCTTCAGACCGGGAGTGTGCGTAGTCCAGGAGATGATATGTACAAGTTCAGAAGGAGAGAATACAGAATGAGTTTCCTTACACTGACACAAAATGCCTGGCCTCTGGTCTACTTATATTTTATATTTTTAAAAAATGAAAATTAAAATGTCCCTAATCCTATTCATCAAAAAGTCTAACAATTTCTCACGCTTAATTCCACTTTTTAGGTAGCTACATTCACAGCATCAACATCGACTATAGAAGTGTTTCGAGAAGAATTTCATATTTATTGTTTGGTGGTTAAATAGCCTGCTATTGTTTTGATGTACCACAAAATGGTAAACATTAAGTTTTTCAGGTGTAGAGCTATTATAGAATTATTGCAATGAATGTTTCCTTACATTTTTGCTTCTCCCCTGAAAGTGCTGATGAGATCAAGTGATACGAACACCTTTTTTTTTCCTCATTTATCCATTGCCCAGCAGCTGTTTAAAAGGACTATGCCAATTTATTAGTAATAGTAAAGAAGAAAACCAGTTTTCCTCCGTAGTGCCATCTGTGTGGATATTTTCTTTAAACTTTAGCATTAACTCAAAACCATATAGTTTTTAGTTTCAAAATATTCTAGAAAAAAAAACAATGGGTTTTTATGTATTTGTTTAAACTTGGGTCCTTGCGCTTGAGAGGCAGGCAGCAGAACCCCTGAGCTAAATCCCTGGCCCACTAGTGTTGATTTTTTTGTCTTGACATTTCCCCATCTCAATTCTTTTTCTCTAGTGTAGCTCCCTATACGTGAATTCAGAAGAAAGAACCTAGAATTAAAGCTTTGCCTCTAGCTATGTTTATTATTTGGGCTATTTTCTTTACCCTTTTCCAGAAAGATTTAAAAGGAATTACTCAAGCCTTTGTTTATACACCTCACCTTCTTCTGAAGTAATTGGTGTAGATCAAAAGACACTAAGGGATAGGTGCCGAGTGATCAGCTGACAATCATTTCTCCTTTCGTTTATCCAGTAGAGTAGCTTCCACATTAGAAAGATCAGCAAGAGATCTGTTTCTTGGGACAGGCAGCCAGCTGCTTTCTAGTGGCTTTGTGGGAGGAGACAGCCTTATCTTCAGAGTAAAATGAAAAAAGTGAGAAGAGCTGGCTGTTTGTTCTGAGGAAAGAAGTGGAATCTAGTGGGGAAGAGAGGCGGAGAAGAGATATTTGTTTTTCCCTAAGTGGCTATAATTAAAGCCTTCCACCCAATTGCTCTGTGAACCAGAAAAAGGTATTTGTGAAATTGTATGTGCTTTTAAAATCCTCACAAAAGAACCTTCTTAGCCGGAGGCACTTTAAACAAGCTTGCTCTCTAGTGGCACCTTGTGGTCATCCTGCAATTCGGAGATTCAGTTTCACCGCAACTAAATCTAGTTGGTAGTGAGCGGTTCCCTCCGCCAACTTCTCCTCCTAATAGAACCAAGTTGTGAAGGATTAGGTCAGCTGTTGTATGTCTGTGTAACAAACACCGATCAGTTAGCTACATCTCCAGATATGTATTACAGAATTCGATATCAAACCAAGAACCTCTATCATTTTTTAAAGGTGCATTTTTAAAATACTCTGGGATGGTGGGGGAGGTGGAAATGAAGCTCAGGGGTAGAGCTTTGGCCTCATATGCACAAGGCCCTGGATTGGATGGATCCCTAGCACGAAATATAAACTAAACTTAAATATAAGATGGAATTTTAAAAATCATTCATTCAAGAAAGCATTAATGCAGTACTTTAAATTTTTATTTCCCAGGTGGCAACAAGTTAACCAACCAGCATTTTCGTCTAAATTGGGCATGGATCTCCTTTGAAAAGGAATATTATCTGATCAACGAAGACTCCAAATTTCTAGATGTCGTTCTTAAACGTAGAGGTTACTTGGGAGAAACTTCATTTATAAGTAAGTTTAATTTCACATTTTTGTCACAAATCCCATTTTTTTCTACCAAAGACTTACAGTTTTTCTAAAGTGTTTAAAATACTAATTTATTTCACTGATCTAGTTAAAATGCTTGGGGAGCTGTTGATATTGAAAGATTCTTTAACTGCTAAAAATATATAGCAGATCGGTGTCAAAGTACAAAACTCTTCTAGCTTTCTACCTAAGTGTGATCTTCTCTGTAACCTTACAAAACACTCTTTGTGTTTAACCAGAGAATGCTCGTATTTCTTTGTCCTTTGGGGAAACTTTCTCTGTACACACAAGCTCTACAGATATCTTACTGTCAGTGAAAGGTTTGTCATAACTGTGCTTCATGCCTGCAAATACAACAAATACATGTACAGAATATGATAGCCAAAACACTTTAGTGATTATTAAGGATATTTTCATCTATTTGCATTTTATTCTCACTGGTAGTGAATTTATCTAATTATTTACAAGTAACCTGTGGGCAGTTTTGGGAAAGCTAATAGCTGCAAAAATATCTTTTCAGATTTTCTCTCCCACTTATTTGTAAATTTTTGTTGTTGGTTTTGATTCTTTAAGCTAAAGGTTAAAGTAGCAAACACAAACTCTTTTTAGTAACTTATATTTTCAACAAATCACTATTTCCTACCAATGTGAAAATACCAACAAGGGTGCAAAAGCTCTGTAGCTTCTAGTTAACGTTTTTAACTTGTCTTTTGAATCTTCAGGAAAGGAACACACTGCTGATGAAAAAAAAAAAAAAAAAAAAAAAAACAGAGCAGCAACGGCAGCAGTAGTGATGTGAGGTTTTTGCTGGTCATTGCCACTGGGGAAATATGGGTCAGTGAGCAGCATGTGTTCTGGAAGCTCACAGAGAATGGCTCCTTTCATCCTCACCTTGGTGGTGAATTGCAGTGGCTCCAAGAGTTGTTGACAAGCACTCTGTGTGCATTATGAACCAGAGAGCTGACCAGAAGTCCACAGCAGGCAACAAGACAGGCCTGCTAGAATTCGACTTCTGCCTCCTTTTTCCCTCTTGCCACTAAATAAATCATAGTTTACCTGCTCCTGAAAAAGAGGCATACAATGTAATATTTATCAGTCAGGTTTTATCTGAGAACTCTAAGACAAAAAATTTTAACAAAACCTTTTCTTAACCCTCATTTTAAGATTAAACTAATGGCCAATCATATGGCGCATTCGAAGGAAAAATAAATATTCTAATTTATTTTATATAAACAGTCTGAGAGCAAAGCGTTTTGCCGGTTCTGTTTTCTGACACAAACCCAGCAAACAGGATGGAACATAGTAAACACTCAATGAGTATTTGTGGTTAAATGGATAATGTTTGGTCTAGTTTCTTCACACATCTGAAAAAAAAAACAGAAGTATAGTAATTTCTTCAATTAAATTTCACATTATCTGATTCCATTTTTCAGGATATGCTAGTACTATTGTGATTATATATAATTTGTCTATGATGTTGAATTTGTTCACTTCTTTCTTAATAATATATACTATGATTTGATTTCCTGGCATAGAAATGGCAATAGTTCTCTTGTGATTAAGTTAGAGACTCAGTGATTCGTCAGCCTTCCCAGCCCACTGAAATTGGCCCTGGGGGAATCATCAGAGTAAGCCAAGCATGCTGCTCATAAAAACCTCATGTACTTAGTGATCCAATTCTGTTCACATGGTTGTGTAGAAGTCTGGGTGTTCTACAAAGAAAACCTTGACCATGTTGACAATTAGATTCTCTTAAGATTCCAAATCCATTAAATGCCTATGGAATTTTATAATTTTTTATTATTCTGCTTGGGCATTTGTGAATTAGATTATCAAAAAGTTATTTGACTACAGAGTGTTTTATTGAACATTTTCTAAGAGAATATTTATGTTTTTATCATATGCAGCAGCACATGGAAACATCCACTGCAGAATTTTAAGATTTATGAAGTTGTAGAAATAATGATATTGTACAACATAAATATAAATTTACTGAGCCTTGTTTTCTATGGAGTTCTATCACAAACTTAGCTCAGAGAATACTTAGCTGCATTGTAACTAAGGAAAGAGGAGGACAGAATCATGGTCTACTCATTTCCTCCAAATACATGTGCAACTACTGTAATCCAGAGTCACAGCAGGGTCTACTTGTTCTGCTAAACTGGATGGTGGTGAAATGTCCATAAGGAAAGCCTTAATAATCCAATTGAACAGTGTGAAATAGGAAGAAAAGTGCTAAAGGTGTAGGGGAAGTGGGAAGGGAAGGGGAAAGGTAATAAGGGAAAAGAAAAAATCTGAGAAAATGAAAAAATGGAAATAAAGTTTTTATAAATAGGGAAGGGTGGAGGGTGAAGGAAGGGTAGGGACAAGGGGAAAAAATGAGAACCAAGACCCGTCATAAAGGTACAAGATCCCAATGATGAATGTAACTGTACTGTATACCTAAAATGTACCAATAAACTCAATGAGAAAAAAATAATAATCCAACTGAAAACAAGCTAAACAAGTGCTATTATGTTTCTGTGAAGGTATTGGCACACGAGACGGGACAGCAGAAAGAGATAAAGACTTCAAAGGCAAAGCACAGAGGCAAGTGCAGTTCAACCCGGGCCAGACTAGAGCCACGTGGAGAGTGCGGATCCTGAGTGACAGGGAACACGAGCGCTCTGAGACCTTCCAGGTGGTTCTCTCGGAGCCCGTGCTGGCCGCCCTGGAGTTCCCCGCGGTGACCACAGTGGAGATCATTGATCCAGGAGACGGTGAGAGACATTGTCAGCTTGGTCTTGTCACTGCTCTCAAGGGTCCTGACCAAATGTAGAGGAAACTTGAAATTCAATGTTTTCTATGGGGAAATTTTTCTAGATTAATGGTTCAGAGTTATTGACTATACTGATGGGAAGAGGGGGAAAAAAGTAATAAAGAGATGCTATACTCGTTTTCAAGTACTACCAACATCTTTCTGGAATTATAATCTACCCTATAGAACCAATAATACTCCTCTCATTTTATAAAATCAATGAATCAATTTTAAACTCCTTTGGGTGTCATAAAATATCTAACAAATGATTTAAGAATTCAGTCATTTTGGAATTAATTTGTTCTCCATACACCATTAAATTATTCGTTTCCTTCATACATTGATCAGTCCCAAGTACTCATTTGGTGGAATGTTTCCACATTGTTACATAATACCCACTTCACCCATTGACAATGAGCAGAGGCTGCAGGCATTGCTCTTAATTTCTCTTAGATTATGTTTTCTTGTCCATGCACACTCCTGGCTGATGTTGGTAAAAGTGAACCTTAATGCTCTTGTGTGTAACTTGAACATTTTCCTCCCCCCTGCCAAACTTCTACAATTCTGGCTTGTCTTGACGTAGTTAGGTGGAAAAATAAAAGATTGAATGACTTTTTTGAGGGCGGGCATTTATAAAAACCTTACAGAGACTTCTGAAGCTGAAATCCTGTCAGAACCCAGACATGACTTTCTTTTTAAACTGCCAGCCTACTTTATCAGTCAAAAAACTCTTAAATGCCCTGTAAAGATACAATCTAGTGAGTACATGAAATGGAGACACATGTGAAAGCCCCTTGTTAAAAGACTAAACTTAATTAAAGAGAGGATAAGAAAGGATAAGAAAACTGGAGCTGCAACATCATTTTCTTAACTAACATCTCTGCCTTTTGTTAAATATGAAGTTTGATTATATTTATAATTTCCATTAAAGCACAGTTAGCATTTCATTACATTTAATTTTATCAGCATTAAATACAAATAATTAAGCTTTTTTCTAGTCCTGAGCTTTGGGAATGTAGTTCAGTAATAAAATTATTCTCTTTTAAGTAAGCCTATGATAGATTTCATACATTTGAAATGATCCCTTTAACTAAAGCTGGAAGCCATTTCTCGAGATTTGTATTTGACAAATGGTAAATTGCTATGCTTTACCTTAAGGAATAAGATACTTAAATTTATTTCTCCCTTCCACTTTACAATCTCACAGTGACATTCTCTACCAGTGTTATGTGAGCAGTGGTATATATTAAAATAAAACAAAGCACACATCACCCAAACACCACAATCTAGACTTTTTTTTTCTTTTAGTGCTAGAGATCCAATCAGGGATATTCTCCCACTGAGTTGCATCCTTAGCCATTTATATTTTTTCTTTTAAAACAAGTTCTTGCTATTTACTTTAGTCATCTATCCTCTTGCCTCAGCTTCCCAGTGTGCTGGGTTTACAGGTGTGTACCTCCAGCTAACAAATATATCTGTTTAATATAAATTCTATATACACACAAACATATATATATATATATATATGCATGTATATACTGACTTCTTACATGTTCATAATTATATCATTATAATTTTTCTATCAATTTATACTTTTCCAATTATATAGTTATGATTTAAGTAAAAGTTTTAATTGTGTTTTATACATCAGCATCTACAACCAGTGAAAAAATAATACTCATCCTTGCATGCTTGCTTATCTGACCTGAAGTGACACTCAGTGCCCCCATGTGTGCCCTGCAATACCTTTCATGCCTCCAGATGTTTGTGGCCCTCTGCTTGCAACCACAGCTGTGTGGTAACAGAGGTGAGCCCCCTCCGAGTCTAGTCATCACCATCATGTGTCCTGCAGCATATTTGCAAGAGCACAGCCTGTCTCGAGTGGCAGATGCCAGGGAGAGTGTAGTTCAAGTGATGACTCAGCCCATCCCAGAGAGCTTTGGGAAGGCCATGGAGATGAGGAAGCAAAATCTCAAATCATTGCTGACACCTGGCCCCTGCCTCTGAGTGGTTCAACTCGGAAGGGGCTTGGAAAGCTCATGGTTTTGTCTAGAACTGATAGGGGCTTTTGTATTATTCAGGAAACTGTCATGAAAGCATTGAAGAAGGAATAAACCTTTGTGAATAGCTTATCAACAACTTCCTAGGCAAATATGTTCACTCATTTCTTGAATATATGTAGAAGACAGAGAGCTGAACAGAGATGCTCACCTCCCTTAGTAATTCTTCTCCTGACACCAGGTGCCTGAGGTCCTGGGGCTGCACGCATGGAAAACCAGCCATTTGATGTCATTATTTTCACCTCACTCCTTTGTCTTTCTCTATTCCCTTGCTGTTCTTCCTTGTTTCAGTTTGATGCCATAAACTCCCTCTTTCTGACGTTCACTTAATAGTTCAATTAGGGAAGGAGTTAAAAGTTCAGGAAACATTTAACTCACTTTCGGGATAAGAAAAATAGCCACCTTATAGTCTCAGCAGCAGTCAACCACGGGTGAGTTGTTTTGTTTGATCTGGGGGGTGTTGACAGAAATGGGGGAGATTGCACTTCATTCAAGGGAGCAGGCCCTTCTCTGTGAAATCCCACTGAACAGTGACAGTCATCTTCCATGGAATGGCCCTCTGCCGCTGGGCTGGCTCGCCATGGAAAAATATCACAACAGATTTCCAGGAAGTAAGAAGGACTGGGATGGAGCTTCAGGACATTTCTGTTCCCTCTGCCCTTTTATCTGATTCTTTCCCAAGAAGTCCAAAAGGACTTTTCCATGGGCAGAGGTTAAAAGGAAATAATCATAATGTAGTCTCTACTGGTGTTTTGTTCTCTGCTATTCTCTGTGAGCCAGACACTATATTAGGAGTTTTGCAAACAGCACTCGAGGCAGTATTTGAAAGATAAATAACAGAAAAGAATATTCAAAATCAAAGTAAGTGTGCTTTGCCACAACAATAATTTCACCTATTCTTGTGTGTAACAATAAGGAAGTAATGCCTTCCCTTCTTATTCTATTTTCTTTTCACTTTCTATATCAAGCCTCAGATACGTTGGAATTGGTGAATAAAATCACGTGTTTTAAAAAGATAATCAAGACCACCTGGGCTTTGCATAATACATATGTTTATTTAACATTTGTTATATAACATTTGTTATATAACTTCTGCTATATGCCAGGAGTTGAGAAACTGGAGTACAGAAGTTATGCCAACTCTGAAATTAATCATAACATTGTTATCAAATTCTACTAACATATTAAAACTAACAATACAGACTAGGATATGCTGTGATAAAGGAACACAGAAAGTCTACGGGGGTATATAATCCAGTTCTGAGAAAGAAGTAAAGGTTTCTAGAATAAACATTTTTTAATTTTCTACATATTAAGTCCCCTAAATATCAAAATTTGCACCATCTGTTCTCATTCTTAGAAGCATATAGATAGTAATTAAACATCCTTATGTCCGATAAAGGAAGATATGTAGGAACTAAAACTTTGTTTATATGAAAATTTATATAAAAATATCATTTATTTTGTATTTTGTATTTTTTAAACAAAGGACATTGAGTTTTATGGTCACTTATGGGGAGACCACAATCCCAAGTAATAGAATTATTGAGTTCAAATACCTACCAAAAATATCTAAAATGTATGTTTTATGTTATTACTTTGTTTACACAACAGAAGTGTCTGCAAACTTCTGATTGAAATGGAATTGTTCTATATTTCTGTGATTTAAAAATATAGCCAGGAACTAGGAGTTTAAAGATTTAACCTTTGTGATCAGATTTAACCTTTGTGATCAGTTTTCATGAGAACATATTAGCTTAATGCTATATAATATTTAGTTTAAAATAAAGATACTATTCTAAAGGAATATAGAACTTAACATACTTCAAGAAATCCTAATATTAATGCATGCAGAGACAAGACAAACTTTGACTGCATTGAGTAAACAAACCCATTTAACAAAATGGGATTCAGATGACATTGACTGACCAGTCTATGAAATTCAATCTAAATATTAATTCTCATTTTTAAAATTTTGCACCATTGACTGTGTTGATGTAGATCAGTGGTTAGCTGAAATTTTGAGATGACTCTGCCAAAATTCAAAGTCTAGAATCAGTTAAGACAATAGCTAACTGCAGCTGATGGCAGAAAAATAATAAAGTACATAGGAGCTTTAGCTTCAGTGTCAGACATTTTTTAACTCTATTGTAGTGGAACATTACTCATTTCTTTAGAGAAATAAAAATATAACCAGTTGCTAAAAATACAGCACATGGTTTATGATACCAAAAGATGCCATGACTAAAACTACTTTGGATTTCCATGACTGAACTATTTTAGCTCTGAAAAACTTTTCAGAAGTTTCTACATTCACAGAATAAAAACATTTAATGAAAGAAAAATGGTTACCCAGACATTCATTGAGACCAACAAATTTTCATATTATATAGGAATAATTTTTGGACCTAGTGGTATCCTAATGTAAGCTTGTAATGCACTGTCATGTGGTAAAGGCACATTTCCATTTGCTTCTTCAAGTCCCTGCTGAAATTTGTCTGAATTACTAGGTCTACTCTACTTTTAAAAACAACTTCTTCTTTACTGATTTAAAATGAAGAAAAAATGAGTTCAATCCAACTCCCCAAAATGAAGAAGACATGCAGTAAAATATAAAGTCAAAAAGGGTGAAAGTTTAGTATTTTACATCTTCCATATTCTAGCATACATCATGAGAAAGAAACTGCATTTATTGATAATCATTATTCTGTTCTCCAGATTATTATAACTAAGGCTATTTTAGAAGGAAATAATATACATAGAAACATAAGCAAGATGTCCACATTTAAACACATCACTGGCAGACCCCCATCGTGTCCATGTTCTTGGCCAGCCTACAGGCTCAAGTAGCCTGGAGATGTACCGGAACATCTTCTCCATTGTTTTTGCATGAGGCAGTTTGTGTGAAGGCAATGAACACTCACTGCTTTCATCCAAGTACTGCATTTTCTTTCCCTTCCATGGTCTATTATGGCAGATTTTCAGAAGATATTTTGCTCCACAATGTTTTCAGCAAAATTTTTTTTAATCTGGGCAGTATAATTGAGCAGAGACAGTATGAACTGCTCTTTCAGATACAGCTACAACAATTTTATTTCTGACTACAGAAGCCATTTATTTTGTTGCCTAAATTGCAGCACAGTCAAGACTAAGAAGCAAAAAACTGCAAATAGAGATCAAAGTGCCCATTACAGTGTAATCCCACTGACTAATAATGAATGCATTCATTTTATTCAGCTTTGTATTTCCAAATGAAGAAGAGTAGGGGAACCATTCTGAAAGTATGAAAGTAACACATGCTTATGGTCAAAAATCAAACAAAAGATGTTAATAATGTGTAAAAGTAAAGGAGCGTATATAAATGTAGGAACTCTATGTACTTTCTACTCATTTTTCTATAAACCTAAAAATATAAAAAATAAAACATTAACTTTTTAAAAAGTCATTTGTAATCCTACTACATGGAGATAATTACTGCTAACATATGACAGCATGGTCACTATGATTTAGTGATTATATTTCCATTATTTAACCCCCACTTTTTTCCTTGGTGAATATGTTCCTTCCCATAGACTGCTATAATTTCAGTCTAATGTTTGAACAGGATTCAACATACACACTTTTATGAGATGTATGTGTTATCATATATATGATATGTTATACGATATGGGATGCAACATATATATGTTTATGAGATATATGTATCATATATATATATATATATATAGAGAGAGAGAGAGAGAGAGAGGTGAGATGAGAATCTGCAAAAAAAAAACATTTACAACACTTCAGCAGTTCTCTACACTATAAATGTCTAGAAGCTACTGGACATTATTTTGAGCACCTCATGTAATTGTAGAGAACAAAAGTAATTTTCATTAATATAATCATGTCTCAATACATTTAATATTATAATACTTATACAAGTTTTTGTTTTCTGATGTATGCAGTTTTGGTGGGTATACATTATATGTATGTTATACATGTTATATGCTTTTACATAATAACTGCAGTTCTGTATACAGATAATTTTACATACATACAACTTTTTATGAAACTATTGAAAAAACATTTAAAGAAATCTACAAATATTTGTTTCTAGCTTCCTTCTACCTGCCTTTACTGCCCCTGCCCTCTCTTCTGTTTCAGCAGGACATTAAATGTTTTTCCAGAATCTCCATTTACCCTTTGTTTTCCTGTGGCTGAAGTGATGCTCCTGTGACACAGAGTGTTTTTCCTACACAGTAGAGCAGAGTGGTTATGATTAAGGGCTCTGAGATGGGCTTTCTAGGTTCAAATTCAGCATCAGCACCTACTAACACCCTTAGTCTTCAGTGGGGTACTGAATCTGTGCCTTCTATACAATGAGACAGAGCTAGGCAGAGTGCTGCATCTATAATCCCAGCTACTAGGGAGCTGAGGCATGAGGATCAAGGCCTGCCTGGACAGTTTAGCAAGACCTTGACTCAAAATAAAAAATAAAAAGGGCTGCAGATGTAGCACATGAGTAGAGTATCCCTGGATTCAACTCCTAGTACCCCCAGAAATAGAGAGACAAATGAATGTGTAATGTGTTTAGAATAGGGCTTAGCAAATAGTAAGAACTCCATATGTACTAGCTCATAATCTTTAAGGCTAATGAAATAATGATGCTTTTAGAAATTTTACACTTAATGAGCTATGCTTACTTGAAGCAGCCAACATGCACATCTATTGTATACATAAAGTAAAACTGAAAAAATTATGTTAGCTGCAAAGTCTACCAATAAAGTCTTTGTCTTTTTGATACCCTTTTCTAGTTTCTCTCACAGATTGCACATTTTGGTTAGAAGTGAGGTCAACAGAGAGCCTGAACTTGATCTTGAGCCTATTTACCCTCTGTCAGATCAATTGTAGGAGTGAATTCCAGAGCAGAGGGCATAGTCAGGATACTAAGATTTTCTTTATTCATAATTCCAATCTACTGGCACTTAGAAAAAGTCCAAGCTTGTTTAACCAAATCTGCTTGAGACATGAGTTAGAGGAGGAGCCCCACTTGGGTATTGAAGGATTAAATCTCAAAGGGATTTAGGTATTTAAATTCTATACACAGAACTGTCATAGATGACCTATTTGAAAATAAAATTGGCCAGTATAGGTTAGCAGTATAGAATGAGTGCTATTTGTGATTCATCCTGTCTTACTCAGCTCTACTTGCTATAAGAAAATATCAAAGATGGAATAGCTCTAATAACAGACACTCATTTCTCACACTTCTAGAGGCTGGAGACTCCAAAATCAAAATGTTGGTAGCTTTAGTTGGTAAGGGGCCTCCTTCTGACTTACCCACAGTTGTCTTCTCACTGTATCAATCAGCAATCCTTGTGTTCTTGTGGAGAGAGGTTTCTGTCTTGAGATTCTTACAAGGACACCAATACTAACCCAAGGGGCTCCACCCTCATGGCCTCCCCTAAACCTCACTCCCTAAGTCGCCTGTACCATTACACTGCAGATTAAGATTTCAACATATGAATTTGAAAGGACACCAGCATTCAGACCTCAGACTTTCCACGTATTGTATACTACCAGTAATGCCATGGAGTTCATGACCTAAAAACTGTCCAAACCTGGGCTAATTGCCCAAACTAATGAAAAGAAATCCATCAAATATTTGATTTGAATGTTCCATGGCACTTTTTATATTTTTTATACTACAGTCAGGATAATTTTTATGTTGAAAATTTTATATTTGGTAAGATTTTATTTCGTACAAGTAGGTACAGTTCGTGGCCTTACTACAGCTGATCTTAATAAGAAATCAGCAAAGATGTTTCTCTAGATGCCACTTTGAACCTATTTAAAGTAAAACTGCCTGAGAGAAGCGCTTGTGCATGTAGTCTTCATTCATTTCCTCTCCTGTTCTCCCTTAAATCAGCCCTTTGAGCTTCTATCCCTTCTATTCCACCAAAACAGTTCTTGTGAAGATAAACAATTTTCTGAACCTTCACTTTGCAAGATCTAGTGATAAAAATCAGTTCTCAACTTACTTGACTTGCCAGGAGTCTTTGAAATATGGTCCTTCTTTCTCAGTTTCTCAGTACTTATTTTGTACTCAGCTTCCCACATCTGTACACCCAATGTTGTCCCCATTTGGGGAGTCCTTCTCAGCCTCCTTTGCTCAGTCTTGCTTATCTCCCTAATGTCTCATGTGTAAGCTAGAAGAATTTAATATCACGACTTTTACAAAGTTGAGGGTGAGGATCAAGAGACCCCCAGGCATAGTAAAGCCCCCCAAAGGCTATGAGGGTCTATGGCTAACAACCTCTAGGCCTGAGGGACCCTGAGAGGGGACTTGTAGGTGGAGTAGAGGAGAGAGTGGAAGCCAGCTCTTGGAAACCAGAGGGGAGCTGAGGAAACATGCCAGACTGTCTTGGCTCCTGCTCTCCAAGTCCCGTTCTGTATTCTCTTTGGCTGAACCAGCCAGAAGCCACAGGGAAAAGGACCATTCGATGCTTTTTTCCCTTAGCTTAGCTGCTGAGGCATAGAACAGGGTGCAGCATGCCCCTTTGAGGACTGCATCTGCTGCTATTCCAGCATTGTTTATAACCAGCAAAAAAAGTGAGGTTTACTGTTTTAAAAATAATTGTGAAGAGTTTCCTGTGTGGATGTGAGACTGAGGGAAACAGACTCCCCATCAAATTCTAGAGTATCTATTTCAGATTCACCATGTCAAACTATTGAACTAAAAATTTGTTATGGTTTTACATAATGCTACATTTTTTCAAAATGTAATTATGCTATTTTATTATTTTTAAATTTATTTATTATTTGTTTAATTTTTGAATGTGAAAACCAATCATTGAGATTTATAACATTATATAAATATAATTTGTATACATATGATTGTTATCTGTCTAGAATGTTCCTTCCAGTTGATGAATAAATTTGTGCATTCTAAAGGAACTGGTATTCTTAAAATGTTAAATAATATCTATATTTTTAATCATAAATCACTCACAAAGAATATTCTTTGGGTGAAAAGAATACCCAGAAAAGTAAGACATTGCAAGATTTGAGTTTTAATCTTGACTCAAGCCGTGAACATCCTTGGCAAATAAGTTGAGCTTGTGAACCTGCGGCCCCCACCTGTAAAGAAGAGGTGGGGCCAGATAATTACTGAGGTCATTTCCACCTGTCAGTTTATAGCAGTCCATGAGAAGGGGTTACTCTCTGCCAAGGGAATGAATGGATTTAAAGGAACTGTGTTGGCAGCATTCATCATTTGGGAAAGAAGTAACAACTGGAAAAGAAGCCATCTTGAATTTTGCATCTAGATTTAAAAAGTCAGTCTCTCGGAGCCTGCACCCTTCATATTTACTTCTTTTCCCCCTCTCCTCCCTCCTGCCCCTTGTAGTGTTATTCTGAAAGAATACGTAAGCAGAAAAAACTCCATCACTAGAGAAATTTTAATTTGCATAAGTTGTTTCAGAGCTAAGAAGCTAAGGCGAAAATTATTGCATTTGTGATTTATTGTGTGTTTTCTCTGTAGAATCAACTGTATTCATTCCCGAGTCTGAATATACCATTGAAGAAAGTGTGGGGGAACTGTTCATTCCCATCAGAAGGAGTGGAGATGTCAGCCAGGAGCTCATGGTGATCTGTTCTACACAGCAAGGTACTTCAATTTGTACAAAAACAAAAACAAAACAATAAAATTGAAACAGCATCCAAAAGATATAAATAAACCTTTTTCACACATTGTTCTGTGGCATTTTGCAGTGAGAGGTATACTTTATTGTGAGGCTTCTCATAAGTGCAAAAAAAAGCATTTATTCAGAAGTTTGTTTCAGTATTGCACTTTTGAGGATTCCTCTGAGAGTGTCTGGGAAGAATATGCTACTTTGTACCACAAGCATCTCTGACTCCACTGGTTATTGCTACGGGACTCAAGGTTTTTCAGATTACAAAGAACAGAAGCCTTTGTATTAGGGGTTGTTTAAAAAAAAAGTCAAAGTAATAGATACTGAAAGAAATGAATTGAAAATAAATTTGAAACCAATGTGAACCAATTTCAAGCTATTTGTTTTGCTCATGGGTAATCATCCTATGCAAGGTGATTTTTGTAATATAAAGTTAAAATTAATACTATGTAAAATTCATTAATACATTAAATGCCACCTCTAGGAAACCAGCAGATTTTCCAAATGTGCAAAAGGCAAACTCCCATGCACTATTGATTTAAATCTCCATAATTTAAATTTACATATATATTTAAATTTCAAATATATATATATATATATTCAAGTATATATCAAATTTATAAATGTAAATATTTATATTCACCTAGAATAAAATTAAAAGCAGATTTCAGCATCAGCCTTGAGCCCTGGATCCCAGAGCAAGTGGCTCAACTAATGAAAAGCTCAGTTAACAAATGTGCAAAACCCAGTAGAGCAGTCAAGATAATTAATGAGGCAAGTGTGTGACATACTTGGCACTTGACCTGTCCATCGTAAGCATCTGAATAGTAGGAGCTATTATTTTGTGACACTGTGTTTATCTAAAAGTCCACGGGCAGGAAAGACTGGAGAAAACAGGGAACGCTTGATTTTATCCCACTGACGCTAGAACTGCTTTAACAGTGTGTGGCCGCAGTGGCAATTCCAGGCTGTTCATATATACAGTTGAGCATTAACTGCTGCGTGTGCGATGCTCGAGTAACATGCTCTGCGTGAAGCCCTTTTGGATCCTCTGTGCTTCAGGAACAGCAACGGGAACGGTGCCGACTTCAGTGCTGTCTTACTCGGACTACATATCGCGGCCTGAGGACCACACTAGCGTCGTCCGCTTTGACAAAGATGAGCGGGAGAGAATGTGCAGGATAGTTGTGATTGACGACTCCTTGTATGAAGAGGAGGAGATATTCCGTGTGCTTCTGAGCATGCCCATGGGTGGAAGACTGGGCTCGGAGTTCCCAGGGGCTCAGGTGACCATCCTCCCGGACAAAGATGATGGTAAGTACGAAGCTGCCAACGATTCTTTTTCTTACCAGGGAGATGAACATCAAAGAAAATTTTCTAGACAGAAAAATGCAAATGTAATAGAATTATACACACGTATGTTATGCTTGATTTTATAGTGTTATTCGTAGTATAATTGCCCGTCTCATTTTTGTTTCTTGATTTATTGTTTTAAAGGGCAAAAGTCATACCTCTGTGTGTTGCCTTTTCTCTGTAGTTTCTTTCACAGTGCCACTTGCTATTAGGCGATTGCACTTTTCAAATTTCATGATGAAGTATTGAAAGAATTTAATAAGCCTAATTTGTTTCCTTTTTGTTCTTTTGCTTTGCTCTCACAAGCTTATCTTTTGGTAACTTTAATCTCAGTGTTTGAGCCTGTTTTTTCAAATAAACCCATCAGGCAAGTCTGCTAAATGAATAACTGGAAAGCTAATGAACATTTGGGAAATTAAGGCTGTTCCTTGACTGCAGAGATCAAATGGAGTGGTTGCATTAGACTACAGTTCCCTGGGGAAAAATTATAATGGAGTAACACACGCTGAAAGAGGAAAGGTAAAAAAGGCCTTAATTCTCCCAGCTGAAGAAGCAGATTATACTTCCTTGTAAGAAAAGAAAATGAGAGAAAAGATTGTAAATAATATCTGAGGAAAGCAAAGAGGAATAAAACGAGACCTAGGGCCCCTGAATGCTGACCTAGTTTCCTTCTCCCCTGGACATTTTCCTCAAGGTAGATGAAAAAGGAAGGACAAGTCTTTCTTGAGGGAAGGAAACGGGAGGATCAGCAAAAGACTTTAATCTCAAGTAATTACACAACTTGGGACACTGAGAATACCAGGAAAGATTTTTTTTTTAATTTTATTGAGTTTATTGGTACATTTTAGGGATACAGTACAGTTACATTCATTGTTGGGATCATGTACCTCTACATGGCAAGTCTTGATTCTCATTTTTTCCCCTTACCTCTGCCCTCCCTTCACGCCCTCCTCCCCTCCCCATCTACAAACACTTTATTTTCATCTTTTCATTCTCTCACATTTTTTTCTTTTCCCTTTTTGTTCTTCCCCTACGCATCACACCTTCCCTACACCTTTAGCTCCTTTCTTCAAATTTCTAAATGTCAGTAATCTTATTAGAATCTTATGCATTGTTGCAGAATATTCACACCAGGGAAACTATTTGGTATTTACACATGTGTGACTTATTTATTTCACTTAGGAGTATATCTTCAATATGTATCCATTTTCCTATGAATGAATCTATTCTCTCGCTCTTTATGGCTGAGTAATATTCCATTTTGTAGAAAAACCACAACTTCTTTATCCAGTTTCCAATGGATGGGAAAATAGGCTATTTCCAAGATTTAGCTATTACAAATTGTACTGCTATAAACATGGGTGCACATACTTCTCTGTGATATGATTCTTTTAGTTCTCTTGGAAAGATACCCAGCAGAGGGATGGCTGGGTCAAATGGAACCTCCAGTCCAAGCTCTTTGAGGTATCTCCATATTGATTTCCATAGTGGTTGCACTAGTCTGCACTCCCACCAACAATGGAGGAGGGTTCCTTTCTCCCCACAACCCCGCCAACATTTGTTATTGTGTGATTTCTTGATAGCAGCCATTCTTTGTGGGGTGAGGTGGAATCTCAGTGTTGTTTTCATCTGCATCTCTCGAATGACCAGTGATGTGGAACATTTTTTCATATATTTTCTTGCTGCTTTTACTTCTTTGTATGAGAAATGTCTGTTCATTTCGGATGCCCATTTTTGGATCGGGTCTTTATATTTGGGGGGACTGATTGTTTTGAGTTCTTTATATATCCTTGATAATAGTCCTTTGTCTGAGGTACAGCTGGTAAAAATTTTTTCCCACATTGTAGATTGTCTCTTAGTTCTGCTAATGGTTTCTTTTGAAGTACAGAAGCTTTTTAGTAAGATGAGATCCCAGTTGTTGATTCTTTCTGCTAGTTCCCGTGCTACTGAGGATTTGTTCATAAAGTCTTTTCCTATACCAATGTCTTCCAGAGTTCTGCCTAACTTACCTTCCAGCAAGTTTAATGTTTCTGTTTTAATATTTAGATCTTTAATCCATTTGGATTTTAATTTAGTGCATGGCGAAAGATAAGGGTCTAATTTTAATCTGTGGCAGGTTGACATCCAATTTTTCCAACACCATTTATTAAAGAGGCTAGGGAAAGATTTTTTGATAGTGAAGGGGTGAAGAAGAATTTGAGAGATAAAGGTAGTCAAGTGTCTGGTGAGCTTATGCCCTGTGCCTGTATTTCTTGTGATTGCTTCTCCTAATGATCCTGTGAAAGATGCTATAGTGTCCGATGGTCACTAGGTTTTAAAACACTAGTGATAAAATTAGAAATGATTTTATGAAGGAAAGATGGAAAAAACTCTTGATTTTACCTTAAACTTAGAATATGCCCTAAGTGTGTAAGGTACTCTCATATTTTAGATGTTTTCTTTGTGTATTAGTTTAATAAAAAGTTCTATTCCATATTTAAATAAAGTGCGGGAATTTTATTTTAAATTGGGTCAAACTTAGAGAGAGTATTTTGAATGTCAAACCAAATAGATCTAAGAATTCATGCTGCGAGCCTATCTACTATATAAATAAATTATATAT